CCCCTTCCTCCCCCTCTGCTCCCCGCGCGCTCAGGGATCCGGGGACTGCGGGCCGGGGGGTGGTGGAGCCGCGGGAAGTGTTGGGTGGGTGCTGACAGGTCGCGGGTTCGGCCCGGCCGGTGCCAGCGCTGCGGTTTGTGTCCTTCTCCCGCTGGTAAAGTGGCTCGAGGAGGAGCAGAAGGGGTTGGGTAGATGGAGTTTAAGATCTTGGAGTTGTTTGCCTTGGAAAAGATGGGACAGAGATTTGATTTTTAGGGTTGGACTCGATGATCTTTGAGGTCTCTTCCAACCAGGTTGATTCTATGATTCTTTTTCCCACTGTCAGAGCTCCTTAAGGAGAAGCAGCAGGGCTGGGATAGATACAGTTTGGAATCCTTGCTCTCTTAAGTTATTAGTGCTTTAATTTGTTTGCTCTGAAAAGATGAAACAGAAATTCGCTTACCCTTCCTCCTGTCAAAGCTCCTTGAGGAGAAGAAGGAGTTGGATAGATGGAGTTTGGGATATTTTCAAGTGTGTGTTTCAGTTTTCAGATGTGTGTTTAGCAGGGTGAGCAGCATAAATTGTTGCCTACAGGAAAAGAGGAGGGAAGAAAGGGGCAGGGAAGCTTTTGAGTAGCATACATACACCTTAAATAGCTACGTGAAATAACTATATGACTTCTAAGAACAAAAAGGTAAACAGTAATGCAGTGATTTGAGTAGTTACTTGTTATTAACTTCTTTAAGTTGTTTGTCTTTGAAAAGATGGGACACAGATTTGATTCCCTTTCCCACTGTCATCACTCCTTGAGGAGGAGCAGAAGAACTTGGATAGATGGAGTTTGAGATCCTGCCTGCTTTGAGTTGTTTGCCTTGGAAAAGATGGACCAGATTCTCTTTGCCACTGTCAGAGCTTCTTGAAGAGGAGCAGAAGGGGTTGGATAGATGGAGTTTGGGATCCATGCTCCCTTAAGTTTTTACTGCTATAAGTTGTTTGCACTGGAAAAGAGAGAACAGAGAGTCAATTCCCTTTCCCACTGTGAAAGCTCCTTGAGGAGGAGAGAAGCACTTGGATGGATAGAGTTTGAAATCCTGCCTGTTTTAAGTTACTTGTTCTGGAAGAGATTGAAGAGAGAGATTCCCCCTTTTTTCCCCCCATCCTGAATTCCTTAAGAGTTTCACAGAGTCATTAAGTTTGGAAATGACCTCTGAGGTCATGAAGTCCAACCTATGGTCTAACACCACTTGTCAGCTAGACCCTGGCACTAAGTGCCACATCCAGTCTGTCCTTAAACACCTCTAGGAGATGGTGACTCCACCACCTCCCTGGGCAGCACATTCCAGTGCCTGATCATCCTTTATGGGAAGAAATTCTTCCTAATGTCTAACCTAAACCTCCCCTGGGGCAGCTTGAGACTGTGTTCTCATCCTGTCACTTATTACCTGGGAGAAGAGACTGAGCCCACCTGACTCCAGCCTCCTGTCAGGGAGTTGTAGAGGGTGATAAGGTCACCCCTGAGCCTTTTCTTCTCCAGGCTGAACACCCCCAGTTCCCTCAGCCTCTCCTCATAGGACTTGTGGTCCAGACCCTTCACCAGCCTCGTTGCTCTTCTCTGGACCTGCTCCAGCACCTCAATTTCCTTCTTGCAGTGAGGGGCTAGAACTGGACACAGCACTCAAGGTGTGATTCATACATGTGCTCTTAGTCATTTTATTATCTCCTAATTAGTCTGAGTCCTGACTATGTGTGTGAAACTGCTGTGGCTTTACTTTCTGTGAATTATTTTCCTTAGCAGAATTATTTAGGCAAAACATTTCATTCTGGCACATTGTTCTTTGACAATAAGCTCATTGCACACCTTAGCTGTGACCTGTGTTCAGTCCAGGAGTTGTACCTGTGTAGAAAATGAGTAACCAGTGCTCTAGCTGTGGTTGTGTAAAGCTGGAGGGAGGTGTAGTTGTATGAGTAGAGCTCGAGTAACACCCTGTGGGATCAGCCCTTTGTGTGTGTGTGTGTGTATGTGTGTTAAACATGAGCTGAGTTGCTCAGTTTTCTGGTCATTAGAGCTGCAATTAGTGGCTTGCAGTAGTTACATAGCAAGGATCAGGTCTGTATCGTTCTCAGAGCTGCTGGATGTGTAGCTGTCAAAAATACCACATAAAATCAGAGAAGGTTGTTTTGGGCATACAAATGTGAGGTTTGAGATGCTGTTTGGATTGTGATGATTTACCTATAGCCAATGGTATGTATTCTATCGTTGTCTCCATAAGGGTTAAAGCAAGTGGGGCAGTGATCGTTATCTCCTCCTGGTCCCTGATGGCTCCCCCATGGTCTGTCTCTGTTTAATGGGCTGTCTGGGGCTCAGGCATGCAGAGAGTTACATCGGCCCGTTGTGAGATGCCTCACCTCGGGGGGTGAGGGGAAGCTGAGCATTCCTAGATGGGCTGGGGAGCCGAGCATCCCCACATGGGGGTGGGGAGCCAAACATTCCCACAGAGATAGGAGCTGGGGTTTGAACCAGCACAGGCACCCTTTTTTACCTGCTGGATCCCCAGAGGACTAGGGGCTGCTGCAGGATCGGATCTGCGGGACCACTGCTCCCACAGACCCATCACTGCAGGAGGATGCAGCCACCATTCAATCGGACTGCTGTCAACGCTCTGACTGACAGGGTGTCGGGTTACTTGCTGACTGTCAGGGGCTTCTTTCTTTTGGGTTGTTAATGTGTCCTGTTATACTTGTTTTGTTTGTGTTTCATATTAAATTGTACTTCTGACTCAGAATCTCTCACCGGTTTGCTTTCAAACCAGCACATTCATGAGAAAAGGATGAATGTTCTCATGTTAAATTACAAGGTAGAGAAAGGATGTGTTACGCAGTTGATCACGAAAAGAATGTCTTTCCCCAAACCTGATTAGAATTTTGTGTAATTTTCTTTCAAGATTAAATGTCATCAGAAAAGCAATCAATCTCATCAACTAAGCCTGAGAGGATGGGCATTGTTCAGCCTGGAGAAGAGAAGCTTTGGTGTCACCTGATTGTCCCTTCCAGTGCCTGAAGGGGCTGACAAGAAAGATGGAGAGAGACTATTTGCAAGGGTCTGGAGAGACAGGATAAGGGGGAATGGCTTAACACTGCCAGAGGGCAGGGATAAATGGGATGTTGGGAAGGAATTCTTCCCTGTGAGGTGCTGAGACACTGGCACAGGTTGCCCAGAGCAGCTGTGGCTGCCCTATCCCTGGGAGTGTTCCAGGCCAGGTTGGATGGAACTTGGAGCAACCTGGGCTGGTGGGAGGTGTCCCTGCCCATGGCAGGGGGTGGGACTGATGGGCTTTAAGTTCTCTTTCATCCCAAACCATCCTGTGACTCTATCAAATCAATTTTAGTGCCTTACACAGAGCCATACACAGATTCTTCTGTGTGACCTTTAACACTGTTTCATGTTGAACCATTCAACATTTGGAATGATTTTAAATTGTTATTTCCTCTTATTATAACTTGTGCAAAGTTGGCCTGGGCAGGACTCTGCATTACACTGTTCTGTTTTTCTCTTCCTTATCTTTAACTCCTTATTCTGATATATTCATTTTATTGCAGGAGACACCAACAAATGGAACACAAATTAACTTAAGCCTACAGGAGGCTGGTGACACCTGAAAGAGGGTAAGCAAAATGCCATGTGAAGATGTGTTCCAAACTAACTTAATGGTTTTAGTAATGGTAGTAGCTGAGCACATCACCTGGATGCCAAAAATGAGCTTGTGAATAGCTTTGAAAACACAGGGCATGTTTAAATATGATCTTGGACTCAGAACTTGAGATTCTGTAGGTCACCTCATGCTTTGTTTCGTAGCCATTCAAAGAAAAAAGGATATTCTTATTGAAATGGCAGCATTGTAAACTCTTCCTGATTATGATCTGCAGAATAATAATGTGACAGACTCATTGTCCTCTTTCCATTGAATCTCAAACTCTGTCTTCACAAATTCATTGCAAATTGAGACTTTACAGAGGTTTGTTATTTACAGTCCCCAGAGGAGCCTAACCACTGACTTCTGGTGAATGTTTTTATTGTTTGAAATGAGATGGATTGAGGCTTTTACTCAGAATAGGAAACCCAAGTTTGGGAGAACTATGAGATGGTGTTTTCTCTAAGGCTTCTTTCCATCTTTGCTCATCATCAACATCCAGTTGGAAGTGTAATTAGGTAGTCAAACTTGGAGCAGGAGAGGGTTAGAACCCTCTTAGATCCTTCAAATCCTAACTATTTTTTCAGGTTTCTTTCTTACAACTCATAAGGGTTGGGAAGGATAACGGTCTCACATTTGCTTTTTCTCCTTCCAGGGAAAGTGGAGAAGTTGTGCTCTGTGCTTTTTATCTGGTGTGTTGGAGTACATTTTGGAGCATGTTTGCTACTTAGCTGAGAACTATAATTCAGGTATGATCCATTTTTTATTAGAAAAGGGAAGTGATTTTGATTTTTGTGTCATTTTAACCATTTTGATTCAATTTGATCTTGACCTTATGCTACTTCTTCCAGGCAACCAGCAGTAGGACAAGAGGGCAGGACTCAAGCTCTGCCAGGGCAGGTTTAGGCTGGATATTAGGAAGAGATTTTTTACAGAGAGAGTGATCAGACATTGGAATGTGCTGCCCAGGGAGGTGGCGGATTCACCATCCCTGGAGGTTTTCAAGCTGAGACTGGATGTGGCACTTAGTGACCACGGTAGGGTTGGACTTGATGATCTTGGAGGTCTTTTCCAACCCGGTTGATTCTATGATTCTATGATACTGTTGGTGAAAAGAATTTCCCCAAAAATTGTATTTGGTGGTCTCTAAAAATTATGATTAAAATGATTACTCATAATTTAAAAAATAATATTCTTACGGTTGTCATTCTGTGCATCGATTGATGCTGTGTGGCAAAGGCAATCCTTCACTTAATAAGAACACAAACCAAACCCCAAACTTGGTTTTGTGAATAACTTCAAATTCAATGGCAGTTTTGTTTTGAAAATACTTTTCCTTCTAGGCACAAGAGCTTAGAAACATAAAGACTCAATATGGGGGAAAAGAAGGCAGAACCATTGGACTTTGTGAAGGATTTTCAGGAATATCTTACACAGCAAACTCAACATGTGAATATGATTTCTGGATCAGTTACTGGTGACAAGGAGGTAGAGACTCTCCAGGGAGGTGAGTTGATTTCCTTGCTATAAATCTGATTTAGTTGGAGAATAACTGCACTGTTTACAGTCCAGATAACTATACAGATGCTACAGTTCTGTGGAAGCATTTCTGGCAGTGATTTTCCCAGCACAAAAGATGTGTATGTGCCTTTGTTTTAATCAGGGCATGTTTTTTTAGTTACAGATTTTAAGACCAAGGGCACAGGGGAGCAAAAGGTATTTGGCATATTCTCACAGCATGACAGTGTCCCACAGCTTCCTAATTAAAATCTGTTGTATTATTCACAGCTGGGACAGAAGGTGATCAGAATGGTCTGGATCATCCTTCTGTTGAAGTTTCACTGGATGAAAACTCAGGAATGTTGGTGGATGGGCTGGAAAGGACATTTGATGGGAAGTTAAAGTGTCGGTACTGCAACTATGCCAGCAAAGGAACAGCAAGGCTCATAGAACACATTAGAATTCACACAGGTATGAAATATTTGCTGTGCTTTGCTGTCAGGCCTTGGGGTATTCACTCACTCTGGGATTTGCATGTGAGGAGTTAGCAAATTCAAAGAGCACCACACAGACATCACTGCATTCAGTCCTTGGTAGGGTTTGGATCCAGGGAAGAGCACCACACAGACATCACTGCATTCAGTCCTTGGTAGGGTTTGGATCCAGGGAAGAGCACCACACAGACATCACTGCATTCAGTCCTTGGTAGGGTTTGGATCCAGGGAAGAGCACCACACAGACATCACTGCATTCAGTCCTTGGTAGGGTTTGGATCCAGGGAAGAGCACCACACAGACATCACTGCATTCAGTCCTTGGTAGGGTTTGGATCCAGGGAAGAGCACCACACAGACATCACTGCATTCAGTCCTTGGTAGGGTTTGGATCCAGGGAAGAGCACCACACAGACATCACTGCATTCAGTCCTTGGTAGGGTTTGGATCCAGGGAAGAGCACCACACAGACATCACTGCATTCAGTCCTTGGTAGGGTTTGGATCCAGGGAAGAGCACCACACAGACATCACTGCATTCAGTCCTTGGTAGGGTTTGGATCCAGGGAAGAGCACCACACAGACATCACTGCATTCAGTCCTTGGTAGGGTTTGGATCCAGGGAAGAGCACCACACAGACATCACTGCATTCAGTCCTTGGTAGGGTTTGGATCCAGGGAAGAGCACCACACAGACATCACTGCATTCAGTCCTTGGTAGGGTTTGGATCCAGGGAAGAGCACCACACAGACATCACTGCATTCAGTCCTTGGTAGGGTTTGGATCCAGGGAAGAGCACCACACAGACATCACTGCATTCAGTCCTTGGTAGGGTTTGGATCCAGGGAAGAGCACCACACAGACATCACTGCATTCAGTCTTGGCATTATTGCTGCAATTCCTTGGCAGGTTATCTCTTTATGCTAATTCTGCTCACGTTTTCTTCCTGTGCTTATTATACCTGGGTGAGGCAGAGATGTCCCAATGTCATCCACTCTTCCACCAGATACTCAGCCAAGCTCCAGCAGTGCCTGAAGCCAAACTATTTGATCAGCAGCTCACAGCGAGCTCCTCTCCCACAAAAAAACCCTTTCCCAAGGCCTATGAGGTGCTCTAGTATGATCTGTTTGAATTTTGCAGGTGAGAAGCCCCACAGGTGCCACTTGTGCCCCTTTGCCTCGGCCTATGAGCGTCACTTGGAGGCTCACATGCGCTCCCACACCGGGGAGAAGCCCTACAAGTGTGAGCTCTGCTCCTTCCGCTGCAGTGACAGGAGCAACTTGTCCCACCACCGCCGGCGCAAGCACAAAATGGTGCCCATCAAGGGCACGAGGTCTTCCCTGGGCAGCAAGAAGATGTGGGGGGTCTTGCAGAAGAAGACCAGCAACTTGGGGTACAGCAGGAGAGCGTTAATTAATTTGAGTCCACCATCCATGGTGGTGCAGAAACCAGACTACCTTAATGATTTCACTCATGAAATCCCCAATATCCAGACTGAAACCTATGAGAGCATGGCAAAGACAAACCAGAGTGGTGGGTTGCCAAGAGATCCACAAGACCTCATGGTGGACAATCCTTTAAACCAGCTCTCCACCTTGGCTGGGCAGTTGTCCAGTTTGCCACCGGAGAACCAAAATCCATCCTCTCCCGATGTTGTGTCCTGTCAGGATGAAAAGCCTTTCCTGATCCAGCAGCCTGCTGCACCTGCAGTGGTGTCAGCTGTGTCAGCAAGTATCCCCCAGAATTCCTCTCCCACCAGCCCAGATCCTCGGCCTGCACACAGTCAAAGGAACTACAGCCCCGTGGCAGGTCCCAGCAGCGATCGCAGCGCCCACACCAGTACTCCCAGTATAAGTAACAGTCAGCCAAGTACTCCAGCTCCAACCCTCCCAGTTCAGGACCCTCAGCTTCTGCACCACTGCCCACACTGTGACATGTATTTTGCGGACAATATCCTTTATACCATCCATATGGGATGCCATGGATTTGAGAATCCTTTCCAGTGCAACATCTGTGGGTGTAAGTGTAAAAATAAGTACGACTTTGCCTGCCATTTTGCAAGAGGCCAACATAATCAACATTGACTGAGCACATGCTTTCCTTTAGGTTTTTTTTAACATATTACAGTCTATTTTTCCTACTTGCTGATGGAAAGCTTGCACATTCCCATAAGGAATCTTCACGTGAATCAATTCGATAAAGGAGGCAAATGCATTTCTGTGTTGTTGTAAAACTTGCCAGGGAAATTTTGTATGAGATGTGGCTGTTATTTTATATGTAGCTTTTCAAAAATGCCCAGAGTGCTGTAAGGATTGGAGTGCATTTCTATGCTTTGGTTGCTAAATTTATGTGCTTGCACTTTGTCCCAACAAACATTCTGCAGATGGAGAAGCAGAGGTGTGTCCTGGAACATGGGATGCAATGCCAGGTTATTTACTAGGCAAGGAAAGGTATAGTAACCATAAAATAGGAAAGGTTAATGCACTGATACATTATGGAGTGATAGGACAAGGAGGGATGGCTTCCCTCTGACATAGGACAGGGTTAAATAGGATATTAGGAAAAAATTACTCCCTGGGAGGATGGTGAGGCACTGGCACAGGTTGCCCAGAGAAGCTGTGGCTGCTCCATCCCTGGGAGTGTTCCAGGCCAGGTTGGATGGGGCTTGGAGCAGCCTGGGCTGGTGATAGGTATCCCTGCCCGGGGCAGGGGGTTGAAATAAGGTGATTTTTAAGGTACATTCCAACCCCAACTATTCTAGGACTCTATGTGGTTACTTTGGAGACATCCTTATCCTTAAAAACTCGTTTGCTCTAATAAGCAGAAGCAACTTTCACATGCAGATTCAACTGGATGTCAAACTTGTTTTCATCTGATGAAGCTTTGTAATGAGTTTTTGTTTAGTATAGTCTCAACTCCTCATGCTAAGGCTCAAACACTAATTGAACTAAAACTCACCACAAAACCAGAAGGTAACAGGTTATTGTGAATGAAACTGTTAGGAAGAAAAAAAAGAACTAAAGGACAAAATGAAATGAGACACCTTACTTTAAACTGATCAAAATTTTACATGTCATTCATTTTCAGAGGAGGTGATTTTTGAACAGCCACAATAAAGAGCTTGTAGAACTAATATATGATCCATGAAATTTCTAACTGCCTTAAACTTAATTTGTACAGATAAATATTTAAAATTTGCACAGTTAGACTTCTGTCTTGCTGATAGAAGCTCTAAGAGAAACAAACGAGAGGTTTACAGATCAGAACTCATTTGTTCGGTTTTACGTTGGGCCAGGCTACAGCTGAGAGGTTGCCTGTATGTTTGGAACTTGTGTTATTTTGTTTATTGTAAACTTCAGCTCACTTGGAGGTCTCTTTTGTCCCCACTCCCAGATTTTGGTGTGCTGAAAATAAGGGGAAAGGCTCCTGGCTTTGCTGAGCTGTTCATGTAGGAGGCAAAGGAAAAACTGGCTGAATGCATTGAAGTCATTGTGTTTAGGAATTGTAGGTGGCAAATGTTACCTGAAGATGTTTATTTAGTTCTGTGCTGTACCTGTTACTTTAGAAGCACCTAGGACAGGCACTTAAGAGAAACCTACATAAAATGTGAGCAAAGTCAATAAAAACTCTTAATGGTGCTAGACAGGAATTTAAAACATGTTACTTTTCCCATATTTAGATGTACGCTTTTACCTTGGTTTGTCTTACTTAGGGCAAATTGCAACTTCCCTTATATATTCCCCTTTTCCTATCAGCAAAATAAGGAAGCAACTGTATTTTATAACAGGATTTTATTAGTGTTCAGCAAGTCAGAGATTGGAATCTGAATAGCAAATGTTTGGCTTGTTTAAATTTAGATTGTTACAGGAGCTAAAACCTCCTGAAGCCAATGGAAAAACTTTGTGACTTCAGTGTAAGATCAATGCAGGGAAAACCAGCTGAGAACAGTATCTTTAGAAATAATTTTGGCTTGAATCAGATAGAAATTGGACAGCAGACACATTTCTCTCTACCTGACCTACCTACTGTTGAATTCCTGTGCTTTGGTCAGCAGCTGAAGGAAGTGGCTGTTGGCTGTGCATAGTTCTGTAGCAGTGAGGTCAGGAATCTCTCACGGAGGTGGTTCAGCAACACCCTGTCACTCCTAAAAATAGCTCTGGTCTCAGCCTTCGTTCAAACTCCATTTCAGTGGGTTTGCCAAACAGAATGTAATTCCCATTTTCCATCATGACACTCTTTAGAATTCCAAAATATCTCTTTGTTACTTTATACTTGTAAAGTTTCTGAGTAAAACTGCAACTCTCTGTGCATAAACATAGAGAGTGCTTTATTTTAAGGGCTAAAAGCTGAGTGAACTGGAATCCAGTTGGAAGTTACTGGTCCTTTACAGGTTTGCCTGTTCCAGTCCAAGAGGAGAGCAGAAGTGATGGCTGTTTCTCCTTTGGATGATATATCGGCACATTCTGAAGTCTAAATTTGGCTTAAATACTACAATAGGATAAGATACATTGCTGCTCAAGTAATTTATAGGAGTGGTTTTCCTTGCCTTTTTGATAGATGATGCCATCTGCTATGCCTAGGCTCTGGCAGCTCCAAGGGAAGGGAAGCTTGGAGCTGCTTGGAAGCTCCTCCAGAAGCTCAGAAGCTTCTGGAATGGTGGTGCTCCAGGGAGCACCTTACAGTACTGAGTGACACTGATCACAACAGCCAAGGTCTCCCTGGTTTGTGGCTCCAGCCTTTCTCCCTCCTGGTATCAGCACAGAGATCAGCCTCCATGTGCACAAATGTTTGGGATTCTACTCCTCCATCCCACTGATGTGGTTTCTGATCCACTAGGACTTTCATTGGCAGTGCCTGGTAACATTGTTATAGACTTACCTTTGTGTGACAGCTGATGATTTGGTGATTTAGAAAAATGACTTAACCAAGACAGCCCTGGATGGAATTGTGGATGGGAGGCTGGTCAGGTCCCTCATGGAGCAGCTGGGAGCAAGAGGAAGCAGGACCTCGTGGAAGAGGGGCCTTGATTTAGGAAGGAATCCTCTGTTGCAAGGAATGTTATGTTCTTCACAACAGAACTCCGTGTGAATAAAATACCTCACCTCAAACCTTGCACATTGTTGTTTAGGAGGATTTTAATACTGCACGGATTTTAATTCCTGCTTTGGAGTACTTAAGGAAAAGAAAATTAGCTTGTATGAACAGCTGAACCATGAAAAAAGCTTTTTTCCCAGTGTCCTTGGGCAAGCTCCTTGTTCCAGGGGAGCTTTGTTCATCCCTTGGCTCTGCTGCCCCCAGATCCATGGGGTGGATCCCTGTATCCTTCCCAGAGGTCACCACAGGACTAGGATTCTTCTGTTTCATCATTACACTGTGCTCAGTTGTGCCAAGCAACTCCCTGACATTGCTGTTCCCTTCTGTCTCCCAAGGAGCTTTGGAAAGTGCATTTTCCTGTGTTTTGTCATTCTGTACATACTATTGGCTATAATTTAAAGCCCAAAGTTAGGAAAATTGTTTTAGGGTTTGATCCTGACAATTCCCTTGCACCAGGAGGCCTTACCCAGAGTCAGTGAGGGATACCTGCCTGGGATTCTGGGACTGAGTCCTCAGTAAACTTTCCATGTTGGGTTCTCCGTGTGCTGCACTGCACTAACTTGCGGGTTTTTTTAGGAAAAAGCCCCGAATCCTTATGGTCTAAGGTGGTGAGTGATTAGCATTGTAACTTATTAACAGGGAAATTGGAGAAGGAGATGGAATTTCTCCATAGCTTGGGTTCTGTTAGGCTCTGTAGTTGCAAACCATGAACTTTGTGGGGGGTTTTGTTTGTAATACTTTATTTTATAGAGTTGTGGACATTTTTCACATGCACTATTTGTAGCACTCAATGCAGACTCTGTTTTGAGACTGAACACGCAAATATTTGAACATCTGAATTACCCTGGTTAATCCTTAAACCAGCTGTGAAGCAGCTCATAGGAAATAGTAGTTTTTTCACAGACACATGTTTAGCTGAAGAGGATTTTGACATAAAATGTTGATTGGCATTTTAACATGAAACTCAGTGCTGGGAAACACTTTCCAGCAGTGTTTCCTGGCAGAATAGCAACAGGTTATTTGTTCTGTTTCAGAATGTTTTGAGTGGTTTTGCTTTCTTTTTTCTTTTTTTTTATTTTGACGAAGGGAATGTAGTTGAAAAGTCTTCACTGGCAAGTTTTCTATTCATTTCAAGCTTCTTTGAGACTCTACAGCAAATGGATGTTCTGCTGCAGGAAATCTCTCTCCTGCCAAAGCATTTTTTTTCATTGAGCAATCTTAGTGTATGTGCTTCTACCTTGTTAATAATATGTATTTCAGTGTAAAGAGCATATTTTATGCAAAAACGAAACCTGTTACAAGTTGTAAAATAAATTTCCATGTTAGTGGATGTTTTTGAGATGACAAGGTTAATCCTGAAATAATTCTTTTCTCGTGTAGTTCATGTTGTGAAGCTTTGCTTTTGTAAGATACAAATAAAATAACACTTTCTAATGAAGTCTCATGTTAATTCCTAGTTTGATGTGCTTCCACAGATGGAGGAGGTGATCCCCTCGGGACTAGCTGTGGTCTGGATATAGTAAGGAGGGTGAACTCACCTCTGGGAATGCCCAGTGTCGTGGTTTAACCCCAGCCAGCAGCTGAGCACCACACAGCTGCTCACTGCCCCACCAATGGGATGGGGGAGAGAATGGGAAGGGTAAAAGCTAGAAGAACTCATGGGTTGAGACCAAGACAGTTTAATAGAGAAAGTAAAAGCTGCACACAGGCAAAGCAAATCAAGGAATTAATTCATTGCTCCCCACAGACAGGAGGTGTTCAGCACCTCCAGGAGAGCAGGGCCCATCACGCGTAACAGTTCCTTGCGAAGACAAACACCATCACTCCAGATGTCCCTCCTTCCTCCTCCTTCCTCCCACTCTATGTACTGAAGATGATGTCCCATGGTATGGAATATCCCTTTGGTCAGTTTGGGTCACCTGTCCCAGCTGTGTCTCCTCCCAATCTCCCATGCACCCCCAACTTCCTTGCCAGGGTGGTGCTGCAGAAAACAGCAAAGGCCTCAGCTCTGTGTGAGCTCTGCTCAGCAACAACAAAAATATCTCTACATTATCAATCCTGTGTTCTGCACAAATCCTAAACATAGCCTCATACTAGCGGCTCAGGTACTGCTGGACAGAGCAGAGCAGGTCACCAGCCAAGGTGCTCCTCAAAACCTCAGCTAGAGGAGGCTCTGGGGAAGCTGATCCAGCTTGAGGTTAGGTTCTAAGCAGGAAACAGGACTAGATCACTTCCAAGTGCTCCTCCCAGGCTTTCCTATGATTCCATGAAATTTAAGGATTTAAATTTAAGGATTTAATTTGCTGTTGGCTTAGTCTCCAAACCCAAGCACAGTCTGCTTCGAGTGTTTCTCTTCCACACCATGGGGAGAGGAGTTGGAGAAGGCACAAGGCTCCAGCTGTACCTCAGCTCTCTCAACAGCAATGCTCAGAGTACTCCATTTCAAACACTCTTAGATACCCAACATTCTCTCTGTCATTATTTTAAAATATATTTATTGACTACATTGGTTGCCCCTTGTTGGAATGAGGAAATTGCACTTGTAGCAGGGTCAGGATTTTGGGTTTCCAAAGTCTTTCCTTGCCGCACATCTTCCAAGAATTCTGCTTTCAGTTTGTTGAGTTCCTCTGCCAAACTCTTCATCTCCCTTGGGTGAATGTTTTTGTCTAAAAGAAAGTTAAAGCTGAACTTTTAATTTCATGTTTAAAAACAAAAATCACAGAATATCTTGTGCTGGAAGGGACCCACAACTTGTGTTGTGAGTCCAGCTCTTGGACCTGCACAGAACACCCCAACAATCTCACCATGTGCCAAACACTCCTTGAGCTTAGTCAGGCTTAGGGCTGTGCCCACTGCCCCGGGGAGCTGTTCAGTGCCCAAACACCTCTGGGGGAAGAACCTTCTCCTAATATTCAACCTAACCCTCCCCTGGCACAGCTCCAGCTGTTCCCTAGGTCCGGTCACTGGTCACAGAGAACTCTGAACACATGCACAGAGCTGAACTTCTCAGTTGTGGACACTGAGTTGCTACTTATATAAATCTTAGGAGCCAAACAGTGAAGAGTGCAGAGCCTGTGTCAATCTTGGCATGTGTCTCAAAATGGAATTAACATGCAGGTCTGTACTGAATGGGTTTAGTAAAGCTATATTTAATATAATTAATAAATACTGTACTATTTTTGTATCTACAGACTTTGACTCATGTTCTGCAAATAGCTTCCATCACACTTGTGAGAGCAATTGCCTAGGCACACCTGCTGGGATAGGATTCCTTAGCAATTTACCCTAAGGGAATTCCATAGGTTTAGTGTTCATTGCCAGCTAGGATCCCTAGCACAGGTAGGACACATACCTTTGGCATCCTTCATGGCCTGAGAGATGACTCTCCTGCACATCTGGTCAGCCTGATGGACAGCACTGGCTGCACACACTGCTCGATCTGCAGCCTGGACAGGGTGATCAGGAACGAAGAACACATGGAAACTTGTTAAATTGATTTAGGCTGATCAACTTTTGAAGTGCTTTTTGAAAACAACACAGTAGCAGTAACTCAGTCCCCACCCAAAAGCAGTGCCCCGAGGGTTGGTCTCTTCTCCCAGGCAACCAGCAGCAGGACAAGAGGGCACAGACTCAAGCTCTGCCAGGGGAGGGTTAGGTTGGATATTAGGAAGAGATTTTTTACAGAGAGAGTGATCAGACATTGGAATGTGCTGCCCAGGGAGGTGGTGGATTCACCATCCCTGGAGGTTTTCAAGCTGAGACTGGATGTGGCACTTAGTGCCATGGTCTAGTGACCACAGTAGGGTTGGACTTGATGATCTTGGAGGTCTTTTCCAACCTGGTTGATCTGATGATTCTATGACTCCATAAGCAGTGTTACCTTTTGCTCTGTGTCCTCCTCATTTGGCCTCACTGGGTTTTCCAAGGCAGTGGCCATCAAGTTAATGATCTGCTCACTAAGAAAACAACAGAGCAAACCACATCAAACAGATTCACTGAGATTCTTCTTTCGTTTTGTAATGCTACCACAGGGAAAAAAAAAAGCAAGTTTTCAGTTACATTGATGAGACAATCAATGAAATAATCTGAGATGAAAACCAGTAACAGCTAAAACTACAAGTCGGTTATTGCTAGTCTTAATGTTTCAGGGAATTGACACAGATTTTCAGGGTCAGGGTAGGAATGCAGTGAGTTTTGAGGTTAGCTCTGCAAAGGATGCTGGCTGTGACCTCCCCACTGCCCTGTGCTGTAAATCACTGCCTCCCAAAAATCACCACTGGGAATATTTTTTACACAGTTGAGATAAAATAGGAAGCTTCTAGTCCCTCATTCATGAAAACAGTACTTAAGGAAAACTGGGATCAATCCAACAGCATACTTGTCCTCTGAAATGCAATCAGAACTGCTCAGGATGAGGCTGTGCTGCTCCCAAGCATTTTTCTTTGGATCTGGCATTTCTATTTTCTTTGCCATCAAGTGAATTGTCTGATCAGGCAACGGATCACTCCTCATGCGATTCCTCTGCAGGCAGCATTCCACTGGACACTCCAGAAACAACTGGCAAAAGCCCAAGGAATCTAAAAAGAACAGGACCAGACAATTTTATCTTTACTAAGTAATAATTTCTGAGAGCAACATGCAGGAGAAAGACTCTGCATGAATGAGCAGCTTCTACACTGGTTCTGAGAATGAGATGAATGCAAACCTAGGAAGGAACACAATTTTATCTTCAAGGCTGCTCAAGTAGTGATGTCTGAGATCAACACGCAGAGTCACAGAATGGTTTGGGTTGGAAGGGACCTTAAAGGTCACCCAGATCCAGCCCCCTGCCCTGGGCAGGGACACCTTCCTATAGCCCAGGTTGCTGCAAGCCCCATCCAACCTGCCCTGGAACACCTCCAGGGATGGAGCAGCCACAGCTTCTCTGGGCAACCTGTGCCAGTGTCTCACCACCTTCACAGGGAAGAACTTCTTCCCAATATCCCATCAATCCCTGCCCTCTGACAATGTGAAGCCATTCTCCCTTGTTCTGTCACTCCATGCCACTGTCCAAAGTCCCTCTCCAGCACTCTTGGAGCCCCTTTAGGCACTGAAAGGGGCTCTAAGGCTCCTCTAAGAAAGGTTTTAAGCGACCTACCAACAACAACACAGTAATTAAGCTGATCCTCACTACCGCAGGAATCCAGCAATGAAGAACAGCCACTATTCCCTGAGAGCACTCAAAGGAAAGCAACTGAACTGCGCTCAGTTTTCTACAACACCGAACACATCCCCATTCCCAGGAACAGAGAGTAATTACATTTTCGGGCCAGCTGGTACACCTCGTACCGCATGCTCTGGTAATAGAAGTTGTCATCCAGGAGGAGGTAGAGCGGGCGGGACTCGGCTGGCCGGGTTTGGGGCGGTCCCTCTCCAGCATCCCCGAGCG